GGCGACGCCGCGTGACGTCGCAGCGGCTAGAAAATCGATCGATGGTCGAGTGTGTTGGTGCGTCACGTGACCGCTGCGCGTTTCGGAGCAGTGCAAGGGAACCTCCTCAACGCCGCGTGATTCTCGCGATTTCCAAATCCGTCGCAAACGTTATTTCGCGAGGTGTTGCAGTGACAGTGAATCCATCGTGTGCAGGAGTCGATAAAGAGGGCAGCGATGAAAACGGGCGCATGAAGCGTGGTGAAACGGGTGGTTGGCAAAATGAGAGCCGGAAGGAGAGCCGTCGAACTTCAAGAGATCTTCGTGGGAAGCAAAGACGAATCGAAGGTGAGTTAAAGGAAAAATCGAACGTGTGCTATGCTCTTTCTTTTTTTAATAATGATTCTGGTCATTGCCACGTGTGTGCGAAATGATGAAACTCTCGGACCTAACCTCAAATGTTAAGGTTAAGGCACGCGTAGTAACCGCTTTCGATTGATACTTTGTACGGTGAAATCGAGAAGAAAAGTGTGTTTCAAAGAGTCTGTGTCACGTTTGCATGATGTAACATCTAATGCGGTCGGTGATATTGCACGGTGCGCTTATCTCCATTGCCGGTACGTGTTAACGCGTTTCACCGCGACAGCTTTCGTGACTCTCTCACTTAGCGGTACGGGGAAAACGTAACACTGAATGTTCCGCTAAACAAAGACGAAGTGGTCACATAAACTTACTCATAGTTGCAATTATTCTATTTTATTTTTTAATCGATTCTTTCTATTCGTGCAATTATATTTTGTTTCATCTTTTGCAGTTTGTATTAAATGGTCCATGGCAGGCATAAGCGGTGTTCGAGAAGTTTAGGGCGTATGATTCTTTAGGTATCTTTTGTATATTTTACAATGGTTCTAATAATAGACATTACGAGCTAGTTGATAAATATCAGTTTCTTTTCCTTACAGCACAATCGATACTGTAGACACAGGGACCATGATCGCCATAATTATTGCAAAGAAGAAATATTCCCTTATCATTTCGTCATCTTATCACTGTCATCTGAAGCTAGGTACAGAGAACGATCGTTTTACGGGGAAGCATGGCGGGTGTAATGCGGAAAGGGGCCGATTTTTCTATGTTTCAAAATCGTTTGAAGGATGCTGATGTACAAGGCATTTTAAAGTTATTAATAATACAAAGTATTTTAAACATGCTAAATGTATTACATAATGTGTAGCATACGTACATAGTATATATACATATGTTCGATCTCTGTACTATATCTAATTGCCACTACATGTACATGTAGATCCATATATCCTCTGTATATAGGTCTGTAGAATTCTAGATGTCTACATTTCTATATTCTTGTATCTCTACATCCATTCTACTGTATAGGATACCATAAGAGGAGATATAAGAACTGTTAGGTCATTTTCCTTACATATTCATGTGACTTGTATGTGTGGCTGCTGTAATTATTTTGCAACCATACATGTAAAATGAGGAATACGTTCATTGTTTTAATAGTTTTGTTTTAAAACTCATCCTCCAGTGAGTTATCCTTAAATCTCTACATTTTTATATTTTTATATCTCTACATATAAATGCAATTTTTATTATATATCTTCCTACATATGTATGTACATAAAGTACGTAATAACTTCGCGATAATTGTATGAAATTTTAATATTTTAATGTTGATATTTTATCAGTATTTAGAACATACGTTTTGTGAAATAATTATCACATCGACTTCCACATCTTCCAAACGTAGTTCCCGAGGCTTGTTATAATTAGCACCGTTTCCATCGTATCGACAAAATTTCATTTAGATGAACTACCGGGGTTAAACAATGTGAACGGTCGTTGAACCCATACATTTTCTAGGAACGGAAAATAAAAGAACGGAAGGCGGTCCATAATGTCACGAGGGTTGGTCACATGTCCAGTCTCGTGTTGATCGCCGCAAGAATTCCATCGAGCGAATCGTTCGACTTCCCAGCTTAATAGGGTCAAATACGAAATAATTAAGCTTAATGCATTCGACGGCGAAATTCGTTGATTATTTTATATCGTTGTTTTTTTACATGGAACATTCTTTTTCTTATTGGAACGTTCTGTATTATCGGTCGAGTGTTATTTTCTTTATAAGAACGATAATCAATGTTATGAAATATGCGATAAGCGTGAACCCTTTCATACTCGATTTTATTACACTTCATGCTGCATAAATACTGAATTTCGGGTGGAAGAGTTTATTGCGTTATATCAGGTTTTTTTAGTTTTACAAACATTCTGACATGTATTTTATACTGCAAAATTAAGTTTTAATATATGTTTTTTATTTCTCTGTGGAATAATAATTATGTGTATGTATTGTAACGAGAGTGTATTGTAACGAGACTGTAATGTAATGCGACTGTATTGTAACGAGACTGTAATGTAATGAGACTGTAGTGTAAGAAGACTGTGCTGTAACAAGACTGTAATGTAACAAGACTGTAATGTAACGAGACTGTATTGTAACGAGACTGTAATGTAATGCGACTGTATTGTAACGAGACTGTAATGTAATGAGACTGTAGTGTAAGGAGACTGTAATACAATGCGACTGAAATGCAACGAGACTATGCTGTAACAAGACTGTAATGTAACGAGACTATATTATAACGAGACTATATTGTAACGAGACTATATTGTAACGAGACTATATTGTAACGAGACTATATTGTAACGAGACTATAATATAACGAGACTGTATCGTAGCAAAACTGTAATATAACGAGACTATATTGTAACAAGACTATATTGTAACGAGACTATAATATAACGAGACTGTATCGTAGCGAGACTATATTGTAACGGGACTATATTGTAACGAGACTATATTGTAACGAGACTATATTGTAACGAGACTATATTGTAACGACACTATATTATAACGAGACTATATTGTAACCAGACTATATTGTAACCAGACTATATTGTAACGAGACTGTATTGTAACGAGAGTATAATATAACGAGACTGTATCGTAGCGAGACTGTAATATAACGAGACTGCATTCTAACAAACTGCAAGGAACTAGTCAGCTCCTTTTGGCCAATAAACACGTCGCGAAGGAATCCGCCAAAGCAAAACTAATTGGTTAAAGAACATTGTCCGAAACGTTAAACGAGCAAGACACCTGTTGTACTCGGTAACCGAGCGCGGGAAATAAAGTCATTAAAAGACACCCCTATCGATCGTTGAAAATTGACTCGATAAGACCATACCCGATGACCTTGCAATTCAGTAAGCGATAATCAAGACACTATACCATGTAACTTAAACAAAAAATACCCAAGTCATCAAAATTTCTGCTGACGTAATTTAATGCACTCTTTCATAATTTCGGAGAATAAGTAATTTATCTTATATTAGTCCGTTCCGTATAATATATCGGTGATAGGCAGTTATGGTCGCGAGAAAGGTACTGCAACGTAATCGCTATTCAGGATACTCGATGTCGAGCAAACACCGTATAAAACATTCCGTTCCTGCATGAGTTGTCTGCATGCCATCGAGAAAACATTATTGTTTTAAGTCAACATTCGTGAATCAGGAACACGTATGTAAATCTTATCATGAATCGTATAACAAATACAAGTGTTTTAAACTTGACGGTGCAGTTGGAATCACAAGAAACTGCAATGCTGCAAAAATTTCGAAGGAAAACATGATTCGTAAACAGTGAATGTGCGTTGAATCGGAGGTGGATTTTTGGGAGAAATTTGAGGATTGGAAATTGCGGATTTGGGGATTTGGGATCTGAGATTTAGGGATTTGGGGGTATAGGAATTAGGGGACGTAGGATTTTGGGGACGCAAGAATTTGGGGACGTAGGGATTCGGGGATGTAGGGATTTGGGGACGTAGGAATTCGGGGACGTAGGGATTTGATTTTGGGGACGTAGGAATTTGGGGATGTAGGGATTTGGGGACGTAGGAATTTGGAGACGTGGGAATTTAGGGACGTAGGAATTTGGGGACGTAGGGATTTGGGGATGTAGAGATTTGGGGACGTAGGAATTTGGAGACGTGGAAATTTGGGGACGTAGGGATTCGGGGATATAGGGATTCGGAGATGTAGGAATTCGGGGACGTAGGGATTTGGGGACGTGGGAATTTGGGGACGTGGGGATTTGGGGACGT